AGAACAATCACAGCAAAGCCAACAACGGCAACAACCACACACACCCCATAAAAGAGCAATACAATAAACGCAGCAGCAGCACCACCACTACCAACAACAACAACAACAGCAACAACAGCAACAACAGCAACAACACACACACAAACGCACTCAGACGCACGCACACACACACACACTCACACGCACACACACGCGCTCACATTTTGTCGTCGCGGCCAAGCTCGCAGCGGCGCGGAGCGAGAGCGAGACGCGCGCGCGTCACACGCACACACGCACACATACAGCGAAAGGATAGCGGTGCCGCTGATGAGAACATCCACCAAACACTGCCGATGGGGTGGCGGTATACGCCCAGTGCAGAAAACAAGTGGCACCCATTTTTTGAGATCTCAAGAGGCCCGCGGGCTCCAAAGGCCTCGGGCGGTGAAATGCCAAGCCACGTCGGGCGACAAGCAATGGCTGCGGCGGCACCTGTGGGTTACCCTACAGGGTCAACGCCAGCAACAAAACAACAACGAACTATCATCGGGCCGCAGCTAGATGGCCGAGGGAGCAAGGAGCGGGAGGAGGAAACAAGTGGCACCCACGACCACGCAGCGCCAACCAGCGAAAGAGGGAGCCTGTACACGCGCACGTACACGCTCACACACACACACACACTCACGCACACGCACACACGTACGCACGCACACACACACACAAACACACACACACACACACGCACACACACACACACACACACACGCACACACGCGCACACACACACACACTTTTTTGGTCTGCGGAGCGAGAGCGAACCTCTTCCGCTAAAAGCTAGGCGGGCTACGCACAGCTTTAACTAGGGAGACAGGGTACAGGAAGGCGGGGCCTCAGGCGGCCGGAGCGGGCGGAGCCCCGGGTGCAGGCGGTGCCAACGCGCACACACACTCACACACGCACGCAGACTTTTTGGCGCAGCGGCCACGCGCGCGGCGGCGCGGTGCAGAACATGGCAAGCAGAAGGATCCGCACATAAGGGATCGGCACCAACACTCATGGGAGGGCAGCCGTGAGGGGACAGACAGGGAAAGACAAGGGAAAAGACACACACACACACACGCGCGCGCGCGCGCGCGCGAGCACACACACACACGCGCGCGCGCGCGAGCACAAGCCCACATCTCCCCGACGACCTTGTTCCTTCGCCCCCGGCGTCGTCCTCCGAATTCGGCCTCCAGGGCCAGCTCCCGGGCCCCAGGGGCATCAGAAAAGCGCAGCCGGGGCGAGAGACCACCCCCGGGGGAAGTGGTCGGGACCTCCACGGATCGAACAAATCATATCCGCGGATGTCAGAGGAAAAGGTGGAGGAGGAGGGGGGCAGAAAAAAGAGGAGAAGGAAGAAGAGGAGGGGGAGGGAGAGAAGGAGGATGAGGAGGAGGCGGAGGGGGAGGAGGGCGAGGAGGAGGAGAAGGACGAGGATGAGGAGGAGGAGGATGAGGAGGAGGGGAACATGCACTGGAGGGGGCCAGGGGGGGGCAGGGCGGAACCCTCGGGGGGAGGGGGGGGGGTGCTTCTCCCCGAGACTGGCCCGATTGGGGGCCACCCAGATGGGCGACGTCGGCGAGGAGGACATCGGGCTCCACATCGAGCCGCATCGCCGATGCATCGGCACTGCGGCGCGATCCTCCGACCCCATCAACACGGACCCCATCCAGGGGGCCTGGAACCCCTCGGAGGAGGAGGAGAGAGGAGGAGGAGGAGGAGAGAGGAGAGAGGAGAGAGGAGGTAGGAGGGAGGAGTTCCACGCTCCCCCCCGCCCTGCACTCGCTCGCGGGCCGGTCAGCGCGGAGTTCTCGGGTCGGCACTGGATCCTGCGGGCGGCGCCTCCGCCGCGGCCTCTGGTGCGCTCCGTGCGCCAGGGATGGGGGTTCCACCGCCGAGCTAAGACATCCGCGAGAACCCGGGGGCATCTGTGGTTGTGCAGCCCGAGCCATTCGCCGTCGTCGTCCGCCGACGTCGTCGTCGACGTCCCCGTCGCCGTCCGTCGCCGTCGTCAGCATCGATCACCGAAACCTTTGTGCGTTGTGAGGTCTTCTTGGGTAATTACCCTGGACGAGCCCAGGAAACACAGCCGCAGCTCTGCGCACAGACGCGCGCGCGCGAGCGGAGCGCCCGAGTCGGCCAGCGGAAGACGGCGGCCGACGCGACCCGGCGGGCCCAACCACTCTCGGACCGAGGAGGGCAGGATCAGTCAGCATCGAATCGATAGATGGGCATCGGATGGAAGCTTTTCAACTTGGATCGGCGGTAACCTGGGTTATCCGGGTGGGGGTGGGGAGGGGCCAACCGATAACCTAGCCCGCGCTGCGGCCCCCACGGCTGCTAACGATGCTGCGACGTGCTACATTCGTGCTGCGACGATGCCAGCTCTGTCTGGAAATGCCGAACAAGATGCCTGGACCTGCTCAACCAATTGTGTGCAGCTACCCGAGGTGGGGGCGAGCCAGACTATCGCCAGACCCTAAACATCGACAGCCTCATGCGGATCGAATCGAAATGTGAATCGGATTGGCCTGCAACGGCAAGGAATCGAAATCGAGTCGGATCGGCTGCGCCAGGATGCACAGAGCCCTTCAGACGTCGGGCCGATCGGACCGTCGGAGCCTCGGAATCGAATCGGACCCGGGCAGCCAGAATCGACATCGAATCGGGTCGATCGGATCGAGATGGATCCCGGGAGGCTGCGGCAGAGCCGAATCGCCCGTGGCGCAGCCGCAGCGGCGCGCAACTGCACGCGCGCGCGCCCAGTCGGTGGGCGGAGAGGACGGCGGCCGAGGCGGCTCGGCGGCTCCCCGGCCCGCTTCCAGACGTGTCTCGCCCCGTGCCCCGGGGCCGGCTTCCCCTCCCGGTTTCTGGACGGCTCTGGGGCCCGGCGAGGGCCCCCCGAGGCCAGAAGCAGCGAAGAGCCCTCGCCTAGGTTTGGCCGACTACGATGAAGACGTGCACGAAGGACGAGAAGTAAGGACGCAAGTTGTACGTTTTTGGACGTTCTGGGGCCTGGCGAGGGCCCCCCGAGGCCAGAAACTGAGACAAGCCCTCGGCCAGATGTGTTTCAATCCAATCAGAACGCGCATGCAGGACGGAAAGCAAGGACGCGAGACCCTTGGAGGCCCAAAATGGGATTTTTTGGGCGGCGAGCGACCAGTGAAAACGGCAAAGGACGGCCCGCAGAGGCAAGGACACAAGGGTACCGTTGCAAGGCGGGTCCTTACAAGGCGCGTTGACTGCACTTCGGAGGTCTTTGGGGTGGAGGGCTTCTCCGAGAGGCTTAGGCGACCCGTCCTCCTCCTCCTCCTCCTCCTCCTCCTCCTCCTCCTCCTCCTCCTCCTCCTCCTCCTCCTCCGGCTCCGCCGCCGCCTCTTTCCTCCTGCTCCTCCTCCTCCCCCTCCTCCTCCTCCTCCTCCTTCTCCTCCTCTTCTGGGAGGTCTTTGGGGAGACCAAGCACAAAGGATACGGACGCCGCTGCTCCCCGGGCTCCCCGGGCCTCTCCCAAGTGCGCTCTGAGCAGGATTCCGAGGCGAATCCAGCGGTGGCAACGAGGGCCTCCCAGGAGACCTCAAACGAGGCAAGGGCAACGGTGTCGGCACCTTCTCTCCTGCTCTGCGTCAGCGTCTGCGTGTCCTTCGACTCTCCGGAACGCGCAGCGCGCGGACGATCCCAGGCGGAAGACGGCACCCCGAGGAACAAGAACCAGCGCACGCATACACTTCGGGAGCTCCACACGGGTTTCTCGCATCTGCGCTTGGGCTCATCCCAGCGGCGCCTCTTGCGCCGCCACTGGCGCGCTCCCTGCGCCAGGGAGGCGGCCTGAGCGCAGATTCAAGGACTCGGCACCCCCGAAAGTTGATGCTTACAGTCGAAACCGACAGCAAGGATTGGGAACCTCCTCAAGGGCAACCTTGAATCCTTGACTCCTCGGTCCATCCTTGACCCCTTTCGATTGCCAGCCCCGCTCGGAAAGTCCCGACAGGCGCCAAGGAACTTGCATCCTTATCGCGCATTCTTAATATCAATGTTGACTGTTTTCCGTTTTTTTCTTCCGAGGGACGGGAGGGGGGCCCAGCGCAGATCCAAGGAATCCGCGCATTCCTACCTTCCACACTCTTTCAATTCCGCACCCTGGTCCCGATGTGGGGAAGAACCCGCGCGGTCCGAATCCTCAGACCGCCAATCCGCGCGGACCCCCGACAGTTTGTGTTATGCAGGGTGTTCTTCCTCCAGTCGGCGGCGAGAGAGGGGCGAAGTGGGAAGGAGATGGATGACTCATAAGGTTCGGAAAGCCCCAGGCCTTCTAAGAAATCTTCTAAGCCTTCCCCGAAGGCGCAGAAACCTCTCAGAAGGCCAGGGGGGTTCTGGGAAGTCCCGCCGCGTTCCGAGAAGGCCTTATTATTCTTCTGCTTCTCCTCCTTCTTATCCTCCTCCTCCTCCTCATCCTCCTCCTCCTCCGCCTCCTGCTGCTGCTGCTGCTCCTCCTCCTCATCCTCCTCCTCCTCCTCCACCTGCGCATGACATTGCGCGCCGAAAGATCAACGGCGAGCAACCGAAAACGGCGAAGAGCCGAACGAGAACTCGAGAAAGTACCCCCCCCCCTCCCTGCTCCTTCTCCTCCTCCTCCTCCTACTCTTATCCTCCTCCTCCTCCTCCTCCTCCTCCTCCTCCTACTACTACTACTACTACTACTGCTGCTGCTGCTGCTGCTGCTGCTGCTGCTGCTGCTGCTGCTGCTACTACTACTACTACTACTACTACTACTACTACTACTACTACTACTACTACTACTACTACTACTACTACTACTAAACTACTACTACTACTACTACTACTACTACTACTACTACTACTACTACTACTACTACTACTACTACTACTACTACTACAACTACAACTACTACAACTACTACTACTACTACTACTACTACTACTACTACTACTACTACTACTACTACTACTACTACTACTAC